TTGTCTGCAGACGTACACTTCATCAATTCAACTATAAACAGTACATAGTGTCCCAGCCCCTGGCAGTGGGATCAGGATCTGTCCCTGGTGCATGAGCTGGCTTTCTGGAGCCCATTACCTATGTTTGAATGCCTTGCTCAGCCTTGATACAGGGGCAGGGGCTTAGTCCTGCCTCAACTGAATGTACCAGGCTTTGCTGACTCCTCATGGGAGGCCTTACCTTTTCGGAGGAGGTGATGGGAAGGTGAATTGGAGGGGAGAGGCTGAGGGTAGCAGAAGGAGGGATGAGAGGGGGATCTGTGGGTGATATGTAAAATGAATACTTTTTTAATAAATAAAAATATATAATTTAAAAAAGTACATAGCAGAGTGTTGGACTAAGCGGGCCGAGACCATGCTTTTTCCCATGCTGACATTCCAGCTCAGCATGGGCGGACTTTCAATGCTGCTTTGATCTTGAAGGTGGACTGTCTTAAGGCGGTTTGTCCACACTCGTTCAGGTGATGCAGCTGTGACTCACCCCCAGGGAATCAGCGGCGACACATCAGCATCATTCTGACCTGATTTAAAATCCTTCAAGCCTTTCGGTGGGAATTCAAGTGCTTGTTTGGGAAGGAGTTCCTAACCATCTCTCGTGTTCTTTTAGAATGCTCTTTTTTTTTTTTTTAATTTAAATTTCAGTTTGAGACATATTTACATGTGCCTGGTGCTCCTGAAAGCTAACAGGGAAATAAGTTCTCTCTGGAGATAAAGAGGGATAGAAAAGCTGCCACCTAGCCATGTGTTTTTGTGCTTCTGAAGTTATTTATCCCCCTGCAATCATCTCTGACAAAGATGTAATTGCCTCAGTAATATAGAACGCGCCTGGAAAGCATTTGGCAGGTGAATCTCTGTGATGCATTCATTCTAGAGGGAAGCGGCAGTAACAGAACAAAAATGGTGTGGCTCCCTTTGAAATGAATCTCACCCAAACCTGAGCAATCCAGGCATGCGTGCCGCAAAACACATGCCAGCATCCCCTTTAACTACAGAATCGAGATTTAAACTCCTGTTAAACAATTTAAAAAGTCACTACATGTCTGCTATCATAATTCTAGAATGAAGTAGGAGCTCTTCTCTTTCAAGACAAAAACTGAATAGATTAAAGAGACTGTAAAGTAGTGTGAGGGACAGTGCTGGGGGAAGGAATAAGAAATGTTAGTGGATCTCAGAATGAGCAGTAGTGGATCTCAGAATGAGCAGTTAGTGGATCTCAGAATGAGCAGTAGTGGATCTCAGAATGAGCAGTTAGTGGATCTCAGAATGAGCAGTAGTGGATCTCAGAATGAGCAGTTAGTGGATCTCAGAATGAGCAGTAGTGGATCTCAGAATGAGCAGTAGTGGATCTCAGAACGAGCAGTTAGTGGATCTCAGAATGAGCAGCTAGTGGATCTCAGAATGAGCAGTTAGTGGATCTCAGAATGAGCAGATACAATTGATACAATACGACAATCAGTGACAACCTGGGCATTAAAATCAAATGAAGTTTGGCTCAATTATTGCATGTAGGGTGTTTTTTAAGATTTATTTTTGATTATGGGTGTGTTTGCATTTTTAATTCTTGTCTGTGTGTCTCTGTGTGTGTCTGTAACTATGTGTATGTGTGAGTCTGTCTGTGTGTCTGAGTGTCTGAGTGTGTGTGTGTGTGTGTGTGTGTGTGTGTGTGTGTGTGTGTGTGTTTGTCTGTGTGTGTGTATCTGTGTCTGGGTATGAGTTTGTGCATATGAGAGCAGTACTCAAGGAATCCAGAAAAGGCTCTCGAATTTCCTGGGGCTAGAGTGATAGGGAACTGTGAGTCGCCTGGCGTGGGTGCTGAGAACGAAACACAAGTCCCCTGTCAAAGGACTCTCTCTCCAGTTCCAGCATGTGCACTTTAATGTGAGACTCATCAAAAGAAAACCATTGCTTAGTACAAATATAAATGTTTCGAAAAGTCTTTTGTACACTTATTTTACAGCAATGAATAGATGTTTTGGGGGTGGTTTTATTTGTTTATTTATTTATTCATTATTTTGAGATGGATCTCCAATATCACAAGCTAGCCAGGAAACACTGTGTGTCCAGCCTTGAACTCTGATCCTCCAGTCTCTACCTCTGCATTGCTGGATTACACCCTTATAGTGCCACCCTAAACACTGGACTGGTATCTTTAAATCAGTAATATTCAAAAGCATTAGATGTGTAACTGTTTTCTCATAGCTAAGAAAAGATTTCAGAAAAATGTCTTTCTTGTTGCAGGTCCCTCATAATGCCTTTTGAAGGTGTTCTTTACAATTGTATCTTTGTTGTATGGTTTCCTGAATCCAGGGGAGGGGGAGAATTAATTTGAAGTTAGTACAAAAGTCTTTACAATTTTTATAGCATAGGATTTTAAAATATATAATCTGTACAGAGCTGTTCGACCTAATCTGTGACCTTTATTCTACCATTTCAGTTAACACGTGTTTGTGACAGTATTTATGATTCAGCCATGTCAAAGCTAGAAATATTTCCTTGCTCATATATCATGTGATGTCAAAGAAAATGCACTTCTTGATGGATGTCAGTCAGACATTGTGTATTAGAAAAAAATAGTGTGAAAGGTCACTGAGCATAGAAACAAATGGAGAGGTGCCTGTGAGCAGCAGCGCTGAGACCTTCAGGGACTGTTCTACTGTCTGCACCTGTCATAAAAGTCAATGAGTACCTTTTAAATATCAGAGTACATAACACATTTCTCCCATGATCACAGAAATGGAGTTTTGTGGCAAAAACATTTAATGAAATTTAGACTCCCTCTTTGATTACACAAGGTAAATATAGTATTACCATATGTTTGTTAAATGTGTTTCTATGTTGGAATTAAATATTTAACAAACAACACCAAAAAAACCCTATCGGTATTTAGCCACTCTTTGACAAATTATTTTGCAACCTTTGAATCCTAAATTCTTTCATCTGTACTACAGGAGTAAGAAAAGCATCATAAAAGCTAGGAATAGTGATAAACACCTGTGATTCCTACACTCCAAGGGTGAGACAGGAGAGTCACAAGTTCAAAGCCAGCCTGTTCTACATAGTGAACACAAGACCAGCCAAGGTTTTACAGCAAGAGCCTGGCTGAAAATACAAAATTAACAAACAAAAAAGTATATCATATTGTAGCAGAAATCTCAGATGGTCTTATTAATAAAATCAAACCTGAGGCCAGTTATTGGGGTGAACACTGGAAGATCAGAGAGACAGAACAAGCCACAGCTAACCTCACCTGGCCAACTTCTCAGCTGATCTTGTTTCCTCAGACTGGAAGCCTCTGTGTCCTCATATCTGAATGACTCTCAGCTGAACTGTGCTGCTAGAAGCCCGAAAGCTTAACCAGCCAAAATGCTTCTAGTTTCTGGTCCTCATATCTTATATACCTTTCTGCTTTCTACCATTACTCCCTGGGATTAAAGACTCGCTTTCTGGGATTAAAGGCGTAGGTCACCATGCTTGGCTGTATCCTTGAACACATGGATTTCTGCCTCTGGAATGCTAGGATTAAAGGCGTGTGCTACCATTGCCTATCCTTTATGTTTAATATTGTGGCTGTTCTGTCTCTGACCCCAGATAAGTTTATTAGCATGCACAATATTTCGGGGAACACAATACCACATCATATACTTTAGGATTTAGTCTTAATGGGAATAATGCATCTAGCATTTTTAGTACTGTAGTTAACAGTGTTCATTCACAAAAATATCCATCCCTCTGTGGTTGGAACTAGGTTGCTTCCATAACTTAGCCCCAGAAGCAGATAGATAGATAGATAGATAGATAGATAGATAGATAGATAGATAGATAGATAATAAACAAACAAACAAACCCACCAATCCCAGCTGACAGTCTTTGTTGCTAGACTGGATGGACTGCCAGACACCTTAAGTTGGACCATTCACTTTTCCGAGAAATGCCCTCCCTGACTCAAGGATGGAGGCCTTCTCTCCTCATCGTTCTAGATTGTCACTGGTTATTGGTAAGATTCTAATGCAAATTGATCCAACCCAGAGACACAAATAGATCACCTTCTTGTCTAGTGTTTTTTCACAATTTCATTGTAGCATGTCACAAGAATATATTATAGAAATTCAGCTGTATATTAAAACCATACCTAGAAAACTCAAGGCACTTTTTCTAGAGGAAGACATTTATCAAGGAATATTTGGTGTTATTCAGCTTTTAATATATAGCAGCTGTCTTCTGCTATGAAATTCTTGTGTGCCCATATACTACTAGCCCATATGGCAAACAATTTAGCTTCTCAGACCTCCTGCTGATCCAGGTAATACCCCTAAATGCCTAGGAGACAGGCAGGCTATATAGATGCATAGCTTTGTTTCTTGTGCAAATGAAGCTCAGACCATTCCCCTGCCTTCAGGCCTAGTAGCATTGCAGAGCTATTGTCTCAGGACAATAGAGCTTTTTGCATAACCAGGTACAGTAAAGACTGGAGTGGAACTCCTGACCCAGGCAGAGCTATGTGGCCAGGGAGAAGAGAAGAAGGCAGAGTTTCTTAGAGCCAGGGGTAAGGAGCAAGGAAGGAAAGATGGAAGATGAAGGAACAGAGCATGAGGTCGAAAGCACAGGAGCTTACTTAGGACTATGACAGGCAGGCCCAGTAGGTACAGAGAAGAGCTAAATGTGAGGATGGAGCTGAAGCTGTATAGATAGAATTTTGTGTTAGAGAAATAAAGTAAACATATGAAAGAGCATGGTGTACATAGGTTCTTTTCCCTCAGATAACCCCACGCTGGACGTGGCATCTTCCCCAGGACCCTGGGAGGGATTTTTTTAGGGCAGGACCTTGGGAAAATTCTGTTACTTGACAACATATCATTCAAAAGTAAGTCAGGAAGACAGGAACAGCTAAGAGACCCTGTAACAGTGCTAGACAGAGATAACACAGGGACTGTGGCTCATCACTTCCTCCTTTTTTCCTACAGAACCCAGTGCTGCCCCCACTGATGTCAAGGCTACGAGTGTATCTGTCTCAGAGATTCTCGTTACGTGGAAACATATTAAGGAGAGTCTCGGAAGGCCACAGGGGTTTGAGGTATGAACAGAATGACTGAAAACAAGCCTTTTATTTTGCTGGCACTGTGTCCTACTAAAGAGATGGTTTGATGACACTTTACCAGTACCATATTCCTTTGAAACTTTGCTCTGTGATTAAAGAAAGAAACACTGTTCTCCTGACAATTATTTTACTTCTCATTAGCTGGCTTATTTTTTTGTGATCTCCACACCACTGTGCAAAAATGAAAGAGGGAATGAAATGGAGTTTTGGACAAACCTAGAAACTATCAGTAGGTATTTACTTTTACTGTTTTAAGAAAGAAATAACAGCCTTATAATTATGAATATGCCATATTAACTCAGTGATATCAATTAAGCTTTAGCCTGCACAGGGATTGAAGGATTGTGGGATACCTGTGAGCTTGAGTATTCCAGCTTAAGTATAGGGAGAGCCCAAAAAGCATTTTCAATGGAGTGGCCATATCAAGGTCTGTTTTGTATTAAAAGCCTCTTGGTCTAGAGTGGAGAGAACAGACTGGAGGAGAGCTTCAGAAGGAAAGAGTAGCAGTTGGTCCAGTCAGGTATCAATGAGGGTGCCATTTTCTAGAACTGATGGGAAGTGGACTGTTACTTTAAATGGAAGCACACAGAATTTAATGGTGAACTGGATGTTGGATATGGAAAAGAAAATATGGATAATCCCAGGGTTTTATGAACCAGCACACTGGATGACTAACACACAGAAGTCGAAGATTCTGCTTTGGATGTTAAGCTTTATAAGTCTTCTTTATTTCTGCTGCTGTTTGTTGCTCTTGTTGTTATACTGTGTTATTGTTGTTTGAGATAAGAGCTCATGTATCCCCAAACTGGCTTCCACTCACTAAGTAGCTGGGGATGACACTGAACTTCTCCATCTCTGAAGTGCAGGAGTGAAAGGCGTGCATCACCACACCTTGCTTGTGTGTTATTAGGAATCAAACCAGGGCTTTGAAAATGCTAGGAAATCAGTCTAGAAACTGAGCTACATTCCCTTGCCTTCTTTATTTCTAGAAGATTAAGGGTTAAGCAATCTATAACTATGAAGAATGACCAATATTAAATGATGCTTTAAACTTGTATTGGCTGTGGTCACTGATAAAGAGGTTACATAGGAACTGAGCTCTATGGTGTGGTATGGCCTAGAGCTCAATGAAAGAAGAGGATCTGACCAAATATACTAAGAGGGATACACTGAAGAAATTCAGGAGCCTAAAAGTTCAAAAGGACAAGAATGTTCCATTGACCCTAATGCTGCTGAAAAATTTAAAAGGCAAAGTCCAAACCAAGCCCAGTGGTACACACCATTAAGTCCAACCTACTCAAGACGCCAGCACTGAGCAACACAGGAGGCCTCCTAAAATTTAAAAAAAAAATTACAAAAGATGAGAGATCAGATCTCCAGATGGATATGGAAGAGATGAACAGACTTTCTGAGAGACCTTGGCATCTTGCTGGTCAAGTCTGGCCTGAAAGTGAGGATCATGTGTGACACAGACATGTCAGAGCACCATGTCTTTGCTTAACCTGTCTCCTTCAGAGCAGCAAATTTTCACAGCTATGAAACAGAATGTCCTCAGTGGTTACAAGCTGGCCAAGACGAGACAGATTCTGGTGGGGTCAACACTGCGGCTGTATTTTTAAACTAAAGTGACATAAATTCTGAAAATTTAAACCAGAGAGACTCCATGAGCACAGTAACATTTATTCTGCTTTACATTATAAAATAAAGTTTAAAAATAAGGAATTATGGACTGGGAAGATGACACCATGGTTAAAACATTTACAACAAAACTGGGAGGACCAGATTTTGAATCCCTATAATCTATGTTAATGTCAAGTAGCTGTGGTGACCAGCCCAGAAAGCAGAGACAGGGAACCCCCAGGGCAAACTGACTAGCAAGATGAATCTGCAAGCTCTGATTTCAATGAAACATGCTTCCTTACTGAATAAGGTGAAAGAGCAACCAAGGATGAGTCTTGGCATCCACCTCAGGTCTCCATGTATACATACACACATGCATGTGTACCAAACATTTATACACACAGGCAAACCACATGTCTTAGTTAGGATTACTATTGCCGTGCTGAAACACCATGACCAAAGCAAATTGGGGAGGAAAGGGTTTATGTGGCTTATATTTGCATATCACTTCATTATAAAAGGAAGTCAGAACAGGTCAGGAACCTGGAGGCAGGAGCTGATGCAGAGGCCGTGGTGCTGCTACGGCTTGCTTCCCAGGACTTGCTAAGGCTTCCTTCTTATAGAACCCAGCACCACTAGCACAGGAATGGTACACAATGGACTGGGCTCTCCCTGAGTATCACCTTCTAAGAAAATGCCCTCCAGGCTTGCATATAGCCTGATTTTGTGGAGACATTTTCTCAGTTGAGGTTCCCTCCTCTCTGATGACTCCAGCTTGGGTCTAGTTGACATTGAACTAACCAGTGCACCATATATGCATAAAAGTGGGAAAAAAAAACAGAGTTTTTGTTATAAGGCAAATGTCAACATCTTGCTAACTAGAAAAAAGTACATACTTTATTTAAACGAAAAATGAAGGCAATGTAAAATTCAATGGCCAAGTATGACATTACCTGTTATTTTAAGTGAAATATATTCAGCCATGACTTTGATTTCTTCTATCTCATTGCTGGATAGTCAACTTAAGATTAAATGTGATATAGCAAGGGTATTAACACCCCACCCTCTTTTTTCTGCATTCTTCCTGCCGTAAAACTAGATGCACCTCTGCCCCCATGACTATTCTCCTCTTATCCCCACGTATCTCTCCTGCTAAAAATGTCAGCAAAAGCAATCAATATTTATGACTAAATCTTTTACACATTCCATCTTCTCTGGACCTCCTCTCCTCTGACTGCCGTGTTCCAGCTTTGTTCTCCAATGCTAGACTTCGGATCATGCTAACAAAGCAGACATTTGAAACAGGAGCCTAGTTACCATAATCAGGAGATTGCTTTAGTTTTTATATACCTTTAGCTGTCTTATCTGATGGCTTACTTTTCTAGTCACAGTTCAAATTTCACTGCATTGTATAAACTTCCAAATTACTAGAATTGTTTGGGAAATGCAAATGACAGTGTATTTGGTGGCTCCTCCCATTTTTCTTGAATTAGAGTGTGTAATTAAGACAGATTAGGCCTGTGAATAGTATACTATAATGGAAAAGACCAATTTAAAGATTGTGTAAACAAATCAACAAGTAAATGACATAAGGCTGGGTTGATGTCCAGCACAGAGGAGAGAAAGCGAACACAAAATCCACCTCTAATGAAGAAGTTGTTTGCAACTGATACTTTCTGGGAGAGGGAAAAATCAGTTTCCTCCATATTCCAGGGCAGGCCCCATGCCAACAAAAAAAAATGGACTCCTGGTTTTTATTGCACACTTTTTGTTTAAGGTTGGTATTTTTTGTCTTATTGGGTCTGTTTGTTTGTTCGTGTGTTTGTTTGTTTTGATTTTCTTTCTGTGTGTGTTGTAGAGGTTAAGAAAGAGAGAGAGAACATTAAGTTGAGTGGATAGGTATGTGGGGGAGAAACTGGAAGGAACTGGGGAAGGATAAAGAATATGATCAAAATACACTGTATGAAAAATTTTGTTTTAAGTTTTTAAAAAAGAGTTAAAGGTAGAGCTAACTTAGCTCCCTTAAAGAACAGAAAGAAGCAGAGGATGTCGGCGGCAGTGGCATGCCTGGAATTAAAAGTCAACGGCCGGGTAGAAACCAGGTCGTGTAGAACCATACAGATGACAGAGTCGAGCTTCATCTCTAGGTACAGCAGAAGTCAGCAGAGTGATTTACAGAGGGTCTACGTGGTCAGTCTTCCTGGCAGCTTGGCTAGATTTGGAATCACCATGAAAACACAACTCTGGGTGTGTCTGTGAAGGATTTTCCAAAGAGAATGCACCAGGAATGGGTCTGGGGTTCCATACTGAATGGAAAGATGAAAGTGAATAAAACGCCAGCCCTCGTCTCTCTCTGCATCCTGACTGCAGATGCAGCGTATGCAGCTGCCTCCCTTCCTGCCATGACGCTTGTCCCTCAGGAACGGACAGTAGTCTCCAGGTGTGAGCCGCCCCAAAAAAAACCTTCCTTCCACACTGCTGCTTCGCTGGGTGTTTCACTGCAGTGATGTGAAAAGTCAGAAAGACTGGGAGAGATGATCTTTAAAATGGCTGGCAGCTTTTCCGTGAAGAGTGGAAAGGGAAGGAGAGAAAGGCCAGGGAGAACAGGGGATTACTGTCCTCCTAAAGCAGGTCCTGGGGGGCTTAGCCAGAGGCGGCCTGGGCGATGTGAGCGCCAAGTGGAGGATTTTAGAGGCGGGCTGGCTGAATTTGCGACAGGAGAGAAATGACTGTTTCTACATTGCTGGATTAGTAAACTGTGCCATTTTCCAAAAAACAAGGGAAAGAAAACAAAGAACAGATTTACAGGTGAGAAACTAAGAGTTCTATTTTGTCCAAATTAATCTTGGGGTTTCTGTTAGAAATACAAGATGTCACTGGCTTAGGCTGTAGGATAGGGAGTTTAGAATCTAATGGAGAGATCAGGGCGGAAGGCATAGAAGTGTCATTGAAAGCCATGTAATTAAGTACAAACATCTGAAGGGACAATTTCAAGGCTAGACCAGAGAGGAAGGCAGAGGAGGACTTTGCAGGCAGACCTTGTAAAGTTTCACCAAAGACACAGAACCAGCAAGGAGGCTGGCAAGGGAGATTGGTTTGACAGAGAAAACACACACACACACACACACACACACAAAACAAGACTGGACTATATAATACTGACGGGAGAAGGAAGTGATTGCTTTTGCTTAGGGCAGTTTGAGGTCAGGCCAGATGAGGCAGAAAAACACAACGGGTTGGGAGGTTAAGAAGCTGTCTGTAAAAACAGAAATTAATATCTCTTCTGTTGGCAATTCAGTTATTTCTGATATAGACATTCAATAACCTCATAATGCTACTGCTCTCTAAATAATGAT